TAAATTAATTGCATGACACTATCTTGGTCAAAGCTATAACAATGGTTACCACAGCAGGGAGGCAATGGTTAATTGAAAGATAAGGTTTAGGGCTGGGGATTTAGCTCAGTGGTTCTGCTACCTGCCTCGCAAGGACTAGGTCCTGAGTTCTAATCCCTAGTACAGAAAGAAAGAAAGAATGAAAGAAAGAAAGGAAAAAAGGGTTTAAATAAGCTTTCCTTTTATCTGTATACTCTATGGTACATTTTAAATTTTAATATCATGTATATGTATTTCCTACCTCAAGAAGGATTTTTTGAATCACGACTTAAAAAAAGAATTTTTAAAAACGAGGTTCACACAATTATTTTAATAAAAAGATGTTATTTCTTCTGGATAAAAAGTAAACTCAAAATTTTTTCACATAGATGCTACTCTATAGCATATCAGCCATCCTTTGAAATTTTGTTCTATTTGCAAAATAAAACAGCACACGTTCCATACCTTTTGCAAGTTGAGTGCTTTGCAGAGATGATTCAAGTGTAAAAAAAGAAAATTGTGTTGCATAGGCATTAGTTTTTAGTGAACCAATGTCAATTTCCAGTGATCAACATATCCTTTCCTGAGGACTTATAAATATTTGTCATAATGTATTTGCAAATTCTATCAGCCATCAGACTCAAATTTATTCCCTCGTAAGTTTTTGAAAAATCACGTACCCATTTTAACTGTCTAGCACTAGTCTTTTTCTTAAAATATACTCAAAATGATTGTAAAACTGCCTAGAACACTCATTCTATCTGACACGTAAAGTCAGTGGACCTGAAGAACCAGTCTCATCAAAGCAAAACACAGACTTTTCCCTTCTGTTTTCTCTCCTAGGCTTCCACTCTTTCTGTCTGTGAATTCTGGTTTTCTCAACTTGAGAGTCGCCATCCACTTTAAAGCACAAGGTCAAATATGAACGGAATAGCTCTTCCCTGTTTTTCTTGTACACGATCACGACAGTCTCACACACAGTGTCCCGTGAACAGGAGGCTCTCCAGTTCCAGCTCGTCTCACTCTTCCCTTTCCCCTCTAATAGTATTTAAAGAAACAAAACTGGTTTTTTGACCATGTTCTTTATGATGACTGTAGAGTACATTCACGGGTAGACATAGTATCTTGAACTATGTTTTTTTTTTTTTCCCCATTGCCCTTTACACTTTCCGATCCCTTTTCCCAAACTCCTGCAGTCATTACTGAAACAATTTACTTTCATTGTACTATTAAGTCACACCTAACAAAGCCAAAGATCACATTGCAGTATTCGACCGCAGTTAGTTCTATGATGAGTCACAGACTGAGATACATGATAGAAAGAGATTTCTTTTCCACAGCGCTATAGTCTGAGAAGCTGTGCTCATGTTTACTTGTCTTGTGTTGATCTCAGGAAACTAAGACATGGTCTTGCGCAGACGGAGTTGGACAATTACAATGCCCTTCTAGTCACACTTCTACAGATGACTTGAGGACGAGGAAAATGAAAAATGACGCAAAGAGAAATGCTTCAGTGAAGTACTGATGGGAAGCAAAAAGGTGCCCACATCTGAAGAATCCATGACCCGTGTTTAGTAAACCTCCTTACACAAAAAAGGGATTCAATAAACGTTTACTATGCTGAACCACTATGCTTTCTCGGTTTCCAGATAATAAAAACCTTCCGTAATCTACGCTACCCAAAACAGATGGTAAAATTAGCAAAACAGTCAACAGCTCTGCCCTCAAATCCCCCAGAATTAGAAGCTCAGTGGAGAGCTGAGGAAAGAGATGGCGCAAGAAAGCCTATGGTGTGTTTGAGAGGCCGTGAGGAGGACGGATCTCCTGGAACGGGCAAGTTCACAAAAGGAAAGCTGTGCTGAGAGCCTCGGTTGTGACTTCCTTTCAATGCACTGTTATGGTACGGAAATGTTTCTGATTTCTAATTTAACCTAGTTTGAATTCTCTGTATCAAGGGACAGGTTACTATACTTCCTGTCAGAAACGTCATTGATTTTATCCAGAGACTATGTCCAGAAAAAATAAATTGCATCAGGGTTCTAAATTCCTTCCTGTTCAAATATTCTCTAATAGATTGTAAAAGCAAAGTATAATGCCTTTTCTCATTTCAGTAACACCACGGATTTCTCAAAAGATGAAAGGAAAGCCGGGCATGGTGGTGCATGCCTGTAATCCCAGCACTTGGGAGGCTGAGGCAGGAGGATTGCTGCGAGTTAGAGACCAGCCTGAGCTACATAGTGAGTTCCAGGTCAGTCTCAACTACATAATGTCTCAAAAAAAAGAAGCAAAACAAAAAAATGATGAAAGGAAACAGAAGACTGGAATTCACAATTTCTCAAAAGGATTGCTGGAAATGACTCCAAATAAAAACTCCCCAAATTGAAAACTGTCAGTCGAGTGTCCAAGTTATGATGATTGGTAATGCATTATGGAACCTCTACAGTTACTATACTAAACAGAATAAACACGAATGAATAAAACTTTCTCAGTGTTACCTAAATCATGATAAAGAATAGTTTTTTTTTTTAATGCAACATCAGATTTGGCATTTGAAAAATACAAAATTTAAAAGCTCCATGGTCCAAGTAATGTAAATTGGAAAAAACCTCTTTTCACAATTATGTAGAATTTTAAATCAAATTATATATGTCAATTTTACTGAGGCAAACAATAATGGGCTGATTTTTCCTGACCATTGTCCATCTGGTTCTTCATTTTTGCCTTCCATGAACAAAGCAGTAAATTAGTTAATTTCCAAAGCAGACAATGAGTTAACTTTTTACCGTTTCATTTTGTTCAAATGTTCCATTTTAAATTCTTTCTTCAAACAAAAGGCGATTGTTCTATCCTTTTGTTATTTTATATTCCTTTTGAATAGTTTCCAGGAATAAATCAAGTGACCACGAAAAAAAAAAAACTAAACAATTGCTCTTCAAAGCCTTCGTATAAAGTTATTAGATCATGGCGCTGTTCCACGATGACCAGCTCTAACATGTTGTGGCCCCCACATGGTGGAATGAATGTTGTCTTGGTTACAGACATCATTTCACGTGCCCACTATCAGTTGTAGACATGAAACACGGTGGCTTATGAAGACAGTGCTGCTTCTTGTTGAAAAGGTTTTTATGCCACAAAAAGGACAAAAGCAATGAGAATACCTGAAATACAGTTCTGATAAAGTGTTACTGTACTACTTTGATGATATTGAAATAGATGGTAATCTCAGGGTATTACTGAGAAATATTTTTGGAAATATTTCTTTGAAAACTTTATCATCAATGTATAAAAATAAATAACAGAATTTCTGTCCAGATGGCATAATTAGTGCTGTGTTTTTTCAGAAAAACAGTTTTTAAAACATGTGTCTGCCTTACATGTTATTATTCAAGATCTGTTTACAGTGCATTACACTCAAAACCTAAGTAACTCCTTAGTCTGATTTGAGTTCCACAGAGTTCTTTTCCTTAGAGAATTAATAAAGTAGCTTTCTGCTGTGTGAGGACACAGCTAAAGGAAGAGAATCTGTGAGGCAGGAAAGCAGCCTACACCAGACACCAGATCTGCCAGCACCTTGGTCTCAGACTTCCCAGAATCCAGCACTATGAGAAAATTAATTTCTATTTATAAGCCACAAGTAAAGTAAATTTTTTAAATGCAAAGTAAAACAGTGTGCTTAATGGGATATCATTGGATTTTGTCTCTGAGGAGTCACCTGCTGACTTTGTTTATAGCAATAGAATTGCCAAAATAAAAGACAGAGAAGCTGGTTCAGATTTCATTTGGATTTTTCAAGATGTAGCTACTTATTTGGCTACCATTTCCAGCACTCAATTTTATTATAGCAGCCCATTCAGGCTACTTAATAAGAAATACACAGATTTAAAACAATCAGCCAACATCTACCTATAAACAATTGCAAACGAAAACATTTCTATGTAAATATTCAAAATGTGCCCCTTCCACTCAAACTCCCTTAATCCTTTCACTTTCCTCCCATCTGGAATGATTTTATTAATGCCCGGGATAGAAAACCCTAGCATATTTGACAAAGTCAAATAATTTATAAGAATAATGCTAAAATGGTAAATGCCTTATTGATTCTCGTCACCATTCGGTAGCGATGCATTGGGCAAGTCAAAATCGCTAAGATATTCCAGATGCTTTTACCACCAAAACCATGATGGCGATGTTAAGTAGCTCCATTTAATCATCATCCCTTAACGCAGACCACATGGCAGCATCGCACCGCGCCCCCCACCCAACTCGCTCTGAGCATTTCCTGTCCGGGAGCTCATTTCGGCGGACAGCCTGTTACCTACCACAGGGCACTGCGCTTCCTCCGCTCCCTTCAGCTCTCCCCGTGAAGTAAATGGAGACAGGCAATGCTTACAAAGGTGATTTACATTGATTATGGTGGATAAAGGCTCTGGTCCGAGAGCTACCCTCACGGAAGAGGGGTAATAATAAACTCTGCCACTGCCATCTTCTTTTGCGATTGTAAAGAGTTTTGTCTCCTCATTTGGATGCCGAAGTTGAGAAACAGGGCAGCCATTCTTGGACTTAACCTCTGACCCATAGTAAAATGTGACTAAGGAGATTTTTACCTTTTGAGTCTTTTTCTTTTTCTTTTTTCACTCTTCTCCTCCTCTGCCTCCTCCTCCTCCTCCTTTCTACTTTATTCTTCTTCTATAGGATGCCCACTTTTCCCCTTCCTTTCAGAATATTGCCCAGTTTTACTCAGTACATTCTCCAGACCTTTCCTCAGCTCCTATCTGCTGTGCTACAGCAGAGTTAAGACAACCTAAGGTACTCCACAGAACCCTTAGGAGAGGGGGTGGCTTAAGAAGGGGTTTCCCTGAACCAGCTGCCAAGCGCGCAGGTGCCCGTCCCACCCCGTCCCCTCCTCCGGAAGCACCCACAACCACAGGCCTTCTCGCATGACACTGCCAAAGCCACACGTCTCCCGCTCCAGCACAGCAAACCTTTCTCCGGTATAGCGCAACACAACACCCCCCCATCTCCTGCTGGAAGCAGCCCAGAGCGGTGCCTCTCGGTTTCTTTGGCTGGGGTGCGCCCGGGCCCCGGTGTGCTCGGGCTGCGAGGGCGGATTGTGGCCAACAGAGGCCAGAGGCCGAACCAGGGCAATTTCCAAACGCCGGGAGAGTTCAGGCTGCTGGGAAACTGTATATCTCGTCCGCTCGCCACTACCCAGGCCCTCCGACACGCAGCCGAGACCGCGGCATCTCGGGTCCTAAGTTTCAATGCTCTGCAAGACGGGGCCATCTGAACAGCTAGGAAAGACAGGCTCGGGATAGGGAAGCCCCGACCCCCGGACCGCACACAAGGAAAGGGGACTCAAGAGGGGTCGGGCGTGACGGCTCCGGCAGCAGCTGCGCTGGACCGAGCCGGGTCGCCCGCGGCCTCTTTGTTGTCGGCGTCTCCGGCGTGGAGGCGCCCGGGGACTCAGCACA